CACGGGCTCGAAGGCCTCGTCTGCGTCCTGCTCCTTGTAGGGAGCGGCAAGGGCCCACAGCACTTCTCGTGGCATTCCGCCCGCTGCCCGAGCCCTTGCCAAGGAATCAACAATTACGTTGAAGACTCCTCCCTATCACACCCCTTAGCCTCACAGCCCTGGAGGCCCTGAATTATGCACAAGACTGCCTCTTGCAATATCCGAACCCAGTACAGCTCGATATGCTGCACACATCCCATAGCACCAAGCCGTGCTCATGCAAGCCTCCGCCATCCTTCCAGCTCTGCTGCTGGTGCTGCTGCCCACTTCGGACCTGAATGCTTCACTCAGAGCCCGGACTCTGGTGTGAGCACCACCAGTATTGGTGAAGTCCTAGAGTGTGTCGTACCCGCACGGGTGTTGTTCTACGTTTTTGGCGCTTTGACTCTGAATATTCGATATTCCTGCTGCTGGGAGCTGCACAGAGGTTGATTCTGGTATTTAGAAAGGTTTGGAGTTTTCTTCTCTCGAAATGCTACGGTAGGGATTTGTTGCCTTTCGCCTGGGTATTTCAACGTTTCGCATACAAAGATTAGCGGAGGATTCTGTATTTCCTCGGCGTATTCGATTTTTCAGCACTATTGACTAGCTTTGGATCGGGACATTGAAGTGTCTCTGGAAATGGGGGATGGAGAGAAGCCTGATTCTGCCCAGGTTGAAACTCCCCCGAGAGCCGCACCACCTTCACCACAACTGTTTCGTGCACCTGCCTAGCTTCAGACTCGGCATTTACGATGGCTCCTGAAATTTGACCAACGATGAAACACAAAGCCGTGCAGCAACAAATGAACATCCAAGTAGACTGAAACCCACCCACATGGCAAAAGAAAAAATAACGCGACCGGAGATTGCTGCGAATTGCCCACATGCGTCGCGTACTTCCGTGTCGTCCTAGCGTTGCTGTATCCTCTGCTGACTTTTCGTAGCCTCTTCCTGCTCTTGCCTGCTGCCTTTGCATCCAAAGAGCTCAAGCAGCCTCAAGCCCAAGACCATCCAAGACCCAAGTCTGAAATTCCAGAGTCCCACCCCACCCCAAACGTAAACTTGCGCTGGGCGGGTGGCCAGCTGCTAGGATCTGCCGTGCTGGGCTCGCTCTCGCCCTGCAAACAACACTTTCGAAGCCAGAAAATATCCTGAGGTTGCAAGCAAACGGCTCCCGTGCCCTACGTCGCCCTCGATCCAAAGCCTTCCCTGTCGGACGTCGACTGACAACGGGCCAAAGGCTACGGTGTGTGCTGGCTCCCACGGCCTCCGCATTGAGCTTTTTAACTGGCGACAGGGACGGATCCAGGACATGTCCGGCAAGAAACAGCTTCTGGATGCACATACCTAATGGTCTGATGCAGTTCAAATCGGCCAGAATCCAGTCATGATCCGTTGATGACTTACTTCAACTGGCGCCAACTGCCGGGTCCAGACCACACCTTGCTCGTTCACAGTCACGACCGGTAAGGCAAAGCCCTCGCCACAAGTCGCCAAAGTTATGGCCTTAGCCACGAGCCGGGAACTCCGGATCTGCAAGTCGCTCAGAATGGCAAGGGCGACCCGAGTGCCCCGTGATGCCTAGGGCTTAGGGTCCTCGGGCCTTCTGGCCTCTCCGAAATGACACTCAACGCATGGAGGCTGCGCAGCCAAGACTCGAAGCCCGTCTGCAGGGGCAGAGCCACCGTCTGCACGGTGCCGTGTTCTGCCAAAGGAGAGAGCATGTGTCTGCAGCCTACGTCAAAGCTCGGGAAGGGAATGAATTCCGGCAAAAGTTGCACCTGTCTGGACCGGCATCACAGTCATCTCGCGTCCCTGGCCGCTCTGAAAATCTTTGTCAAGGCGCTTCGGCTGCATGGCTTTCAACTTTACACGCTCGAAGCCCTGAGCTGACACGTCTCGTAAACGGCAACGCACACCCCTGTTGTGCTCCCAAGGTACTGCCTGTGGCTTGCATAGTGCGGGAGACCCAGAAGAATGATTGCAGACTACGCCGAGAAATTCAAGATGCAAGTCACATCTTCCAACTCCGGACTTGGGATCGACCCCGTTCCTTTTCTATGCGGGACTGGGAGCTCTGGGGCAGCGGCGTCGATCACCAGCTTGCCTCTTAATACAATCAGAAAGATGAGAAAGGCACGTCACACAGCTTGAGCTAATGAAAGGAGACCACAGCTCTGTCGGCCTGCCTCCTAGATTTCGGGGCAATCTGGGAATCGCGGCCTTGGATGAACAGAGGAGTCATTGAGAGCGGCAGCCCAACAGCAAAGTCACGCGGTATCATGACAATCCAACAGCCGATGCTAGGTTTTGGCCTCGAGGCTGCCATTGAAATGTGCTGCTACGCACGTTCCGTGGAGCCTCAAGACCCTTCGGAGAGGCACTTGAACAAACAGGTGTTTCTCCTCCATAAAGAGTATGCTGTCTTGAGAGAGTCAGACTTGCTAACGAATGGGCGTGATACATGTGCTTAGTGAGTTTTCGTCGGAGCCAAGCGTGCCATCGTGCGCAAAATAATTCATTTTCTAAAAACCCTGCGTCACACCGAAGGTGTGGCTACAGTCTTGTTCGACGTTTCACCCACGCTTTGGGATTCAGGAAACGGAAGCAGTCCCAGTCCGTGATCCTTTACTACTGGTAATTGCTTCCTCCTTCTGCTGATACTTCGACTGGCTGCTGCCTAGCCCGACCGGCGCACGAGCCAAACCCCGAATTCACTGTCTACTAGACGCGCCTCTGACCCAAAGACAATATGTTTGAGAACCACTGGGGACGGCCGGAAAATCAGCCTACTGCAACCAGGCCCAAAAACCGCGATGAGCTTGCATTCACCGTGCACTTGTACTTCTATCTATCTATCTCTCTATCTATCTGTCTATCTATCTGTCTATCCATCTGTCTGTCTATCTATCTGTATATACATATATATATATATACATAATACCATACATATACAACAGATCTATATGTATGTATACACATAGTACACATGATTATACATCCTTATGTGCAGTGCATGCATCCGATGATTCTTGCTATTCGTCTTCGTGGCTGGCCGGCCTTGCATATTCACTGCGCGCTTAACATCGTTGCGATAAGTTGCGCATGTTGTTGGATTTGTTGGTGTGCGTTCTCCATACCCCGATGGCAAAGCAACTTTGTGTCGACCATGAAGACAGACGAAGCTCCGACGATGGGATTGCAAGTCAAAAAGCTGTGAAGAAGCCTCAAGCTTGAGTGGACTTCCAAGAGAGAGACCGGTGTAATACTGATGAAACCAGACGGAGGAGAAAAAACAAGAAGCCATGGAGGGACGCAGCCGACTCGGTCAGACAGGAAAGGACTTACGCTGAGATTGCAATGCCTCGGAGATAACCAACCATGACACCTGCACAGCAGAAACGCGGTATGTGGCCTTCTTCACCTTTCGCCCGTTTGTGGGGACCTGGCACCCGCAGAACACCAGAACACCAACAACTAGAGTTGTCGCTCAAGTCATACTAAATAGAAGCAGCACCATCTCAACCAATAAAATTCAAGATCCTATTCGCTTCACCTCATGCACCTTTACAGGCTCGGAGTGCTGGATCTTGGGCCAATCCTCGGCAAATTGGAGCTTCTATTGCGTACGCTGCTGCATCTGCTTGAGGCTGTGTAAGAGCACCAGGACCAACCAGGACGGGAGGCACACTCACAGGTGTGGCGCTGGCCTGTTGCCCCTGATCCCGACATGTCACCGGCATCCTTCTGTTGGTTCGAACAGCCACTGACCGCGAAGCCATGGACACAAACTTTCATCAGCGCTTGTCCTTCTCTCCATGGATTTTAAGCAGGACTTCTGGCTCAGGGACGGCAAGATATGACACTTTGAATGAGTTAACATCTGCAGCTCAATGCAATTTGTCTCTTAAGTTTGTCCTCTGGTTCTACGCCTTAAAGCTGCCCCTGTGCCCCTGTGAACTTGATGCATTGGGTGGGAAGGCAGGGTACAGGAATTATGGCCGTGCACACGGTATTGCCCTGGACCAATTCCTCCAAGAGAATACGGTGTCATTGTGGCATTGACATGCGAAACGCGCTGCAACTTACGGACAACGAGCTTCATCCCGGCAGCATGGGGTCTTGTGCACGTACAGCTTTTGCAACGTGACATTGCGCAAGGCACACACACACACACACACGATTGACAAGAACATCCCTCAAATTGTGGATTGGCTTCAGGGCTGCCAGGATTCCAAGGGCGAGCCGACGGCAGAAGTCGATGCTTTCTCTAATTCCGGCATGAAGGGACCTGATGGCAGAGTTCCACCGAGTTTTCTGCAAGCTTGGTTTCGGGACTTCTGGCTGCTTTAGGGCTTCAGGGTTACGAAATCAGATTCCGAAGTGTACTTATGTAATGTGGTCGGCTCCATTCAGGTAGTGTGTGTGCATGGTATCGTAAGGAGAGGTGCTTGCAACAGTTGACTAGCATCGTTGGCCGAACGTGCAGCACAGTTGACAAAGAGCGCCCCCAAACCATTCCTAGTGGGACGTCCATGTCCTCGCATCTCAGCCACCAGGCTCTGGGATACTGTTGCATCGACCGCGAGTCGAGAGCACTTTGATCAGTGGGGAGATAGGCCAAGTTCAAATTGGTTCACACTGCGCGGGCCAGCATTTAAGTTGGAGCCAGCCGAGGTGACTTTGACAACCGTCCTACGCATGTTGGACCATCCGGTGCCGCAGTAATTGGCTGCTGTGCTGCGAGAGAAATGGAACTCGTGCGCAGAGGGACTTCCTCGACTCAAACGCCAAGGGCCCCACCAGCTTCGCAGGCTCGATGAGAATCCATCAGAGCTTGAGCCGCAGCCACGATCCGGAGAGTCGCGTTTGCAACTAAAACAACAGACCACCGAACCGCTGCGCTGCTATGCCATGCTATGCTCGCTTGATGCTCCCTGCGAGCCAGACACCGCGGGGGTCCACGTAAAGGGTTTGGCCTCCGCGGCTTCGGCGCACCGGGCTCCTCCCAAAGAGGCAACGGGACGGTGCCGAAAAAGCTGCAACGCAATGCTGCAATGCAATGCTGCACACTTCAAATGGAGAACTCAGAAGCCCAAGGCTCAGAATTGTCGCCGTGCAGCCTCCCGCACATCTCTTCCATCCGAGCGTGGGAGCTTCAGACCTTGGAGAATGTGCTGCGCAGAGGTCAATCGCATCACAGCCATACTCCTGAAAGCCTTGTGTGACCTAAGACTCATAGAACCTGCACAAGACTGCCTCAAGCGACAGTGCTGAGACTTGTAAAGACCCCGGCCTGGGTTGCTGCAGGACAGGTGTCTCCTCTGTGACTGCTTCCAAGGCTGGTCCAGGTGACCTGGGTGTCATTGCAACTCTTCGTAAGCTAGCCTTAGACGTACCACAAGTGCTGACATCCCGCAGCTGAAGTCGTGGGGCTCCAAAGGGCCAAAGCCCTCTCTGGACTAGTGATTACTAGAAGCGCTTGCCTTTGATGGCAGATTTTCGGAGACCGAGGCCAAATCTGGGAAGCCGGCAGCTCTGCCTGTGGGGAGGCCGCGCTAGGATCCGATGCATCGGAGACTAGAATCTGCCTCAATGCTCCCAAGCAACACTGAGGCTTACTGAGATGCGCCTCCGACTGCACTGCATGGAATGCCCCGTCCTTGGCAGCCTTCTTGGCATTCAGCCTTCGATGTTGGGCTGGGGCTCGGGCAGGGAGGGAGGAGGTAGCTCCAAGTCTTTTGGCTCGCCCTCCATCACCTCATCCCTCAGTTTGCGGCCGTTTGCGGGCGACTGGGTGTCCAAGACGACTCGCACATGCCAGGAATAGGTCCCCGCTCCAAACATTTGTCGATTCAAGTCAGGCAAGCTAGCAACCCACCCGATCCCGATTCTTTCCATACAAACGTCGGCTACTGTAGCGGTCACAGTCCCGACTTCGTACGTCCACTTGTAAGCTTGGACTTGGATGCCGACATGAAGGACTTGCCACATTCCAGCTCCCAGTGACACCTGCCAAGATGCGTTCAATCCCGAACGACTTCTCAAAGGTGGAGTGTAACAGCTTCACGGTTTCCCGCCTCTCCGCAATCTGGAACGATACCTGCGGCCCAAGAATTGCCAAGAACGCCGAGCTACAAAACACCAAGCAAACGAGCTAGGACCCTGTATGTAACCCGACGTGCGAGGAGCCTGCGCCGGAGCCTGAGGCTCAAAGGAGGTGCATTAAACCCTAAAGCTGGGCAGTGTACAGGCGTGGCAACCGGAAAAATTATGACAAGCCAATACCGTGAAAGCGCAGCATTCCTGACTGCGGCAGCAAACAAACTCCGGATTGCGCGGAACTCGAAAAATCACGTTGAAACATAGAAGAACAGGCAAAAGGACATCCAGAAATCGCGCTAGAAGAGCACAGGTAAGAATGCAGGAGGTGCATTTTGATGGCCGAGAGCGAAAACATGGAAACCCTCGCTTGGAACTGTATAGGGCAGGTTTCTGGAAGTCCAGAATCCGAAATCGAAGAGGCCCAAATGCTCTCCCAGTCTTTAGCCGCCTGTTTCTCTGGGCCCACGCTGGGCTCCAGGATGCAATCCAGTAGGTGCGCCTGCCAAAGAACATCGAGAGAGTTTGCACCACAGATGGACAATGCGAGACAAAGTCGAAGTCCCGTCTTTCTCCGAAAAGAGACTCTTTTTCCCGCATGCCAAGGAAGAAGTGTCTGCGTACCTCTCGAACTCAGGTGCCAGCATGTGCACCCAGCCGGGCGGCACATCACCAGATTCCAGGGTGTCGCTAGCAAAGCCATGACGTTTTTAAGAGAACAGCCTCTCGAGACCCGAAAGATGGAACAACTCTCGAAGACGAACGGATCGACTGGACCGAGACCCACTCGCCTGCTTCTTCTCCCAGCCCGATAGGACGAGGCCCTTGCCTGGGAGCGGGGCGGTTCGCTTCTGGCAACATAACAGCAGCGATCGAAGTCTCCTCTATTTTGCGAACCATGTAATCCAAGCACCCTGTGTTCAATCCAATCGCGAAAACCCGGACCTTTTTGACTCCTGTCACTTCTGGGGCTGCGCATTGTGACATTCCCAACTTGCTCGCGGCCTCCCACTAAGATCGTCCATGGTGCCAATTACAGTACGGCGGCGGCGAGCGTACGTCTAGGCACTCAGCGATCGTTTTTGAAACAGGGGAGAATCCCGATTGAGCTCTGCCAAGCACCCCGCATGGACTCCGCACCAGTGCTCTCGGCACAGTGACCGCAAGGGCAGGCAGTGGCTTGACTGGCCTCGACCTGGCCAGGAAACAGCACCGAAGGCATCACCAGCGGCTCGGGGCTATAAGCGTGATACAGTTGCGACACAATGACTGACACAACATGACAACTCCAGAAAGTGTAGTACTCAAGTTATGTCGTTGAGATGACCCAGCTGACGAAAATCACCGGCTTGCCAAAGCTCGTGATGGTGCTGGCGACGAACAACAAACAAAAGACTTTAACGATTGGAAAGAATTTTGAACACTGCGGGATTATGTTCAGGAGGACTCCGCAAGTCTGCAGGACGACGGATCTGCTCATGGTGATGATGACGAAGATGAAGTTGCTGATCTGATAACCATGTCGACAATGATGACAAGGCCGGGATTTCTGACGATGACGATGACCATGCTAGTGATGATACCGATTCCTCTTGCTTGTTGGTGCTTGTAGCGGTCAGACATGTGACCGACTCGCTATCAACTGTGCCATCATCACCAATACTGCCGTGAATACTCGACGCCAGGCTCGCATCCCGATCGTGACTTACAACTGCATGCGCAGGCCTTTGCGATGCGCTTTGCAGCCAACAGCATGGTGCTTCCGCTATCTTACAGGTTTTGTTGCAGTAGGAGCGATGCAGCGACAGAGCGTCCTGCTGCCCTGGTTGCAGACCATGGAACTTCCGGCCTCTTGGTGGGCGACAAGTCAACTGCATCCTCAGCAATAGCAATGCAGCCAATGTCTCAACCCCAAGAGCAAAAATGGAGATCACTGCAGGCGTAGATTCGGTCAATGCGCGCTGCAACCGACAAGCCAGCCTCGGCGGAATGCGTCGAAGCTTGTCGGGGTTGAAGGAAAAGAAGATTTTTCGAATCGGATCTGTGCTTCCTACTATGCTTCACTGGCTGCAGTGCCCATCGTGAACTGAACTCTTGTAGACTGCGCCTCCTGAAAGCACAACCACTGCCTTATGCTCGCCATCTCTGCTAGGGTCCAAAGCAAGTCAGAGGGTTTTCGACTTTGTCTCCGAGGCCCCCACGATCGACCGAGGCGCAAGTGGGGAGGCAATGCAGCTGAAGGAAGCGTCAGTACCCCCTGAAGAGAAAGCTTAGGGAGTGGAGCTGCTCGGAAAGCAGCTATGGTTGCACTTGTTTCACGTTTCGAAAGTTGATTCGAGCCTGACAACTTAGGCGAAGCTTCGCGAAAGCTTGTTCGTGGCTCCGCCAATTCGTGCCACAAAAACGCGATCGAAATGAGGAAGGGTCACAGCAAGCACTGCACGATTAGCCGGCAGTGCTGCCCAATGATGTGAGAACACGGACAGAGCATTGATTTGCACCTGTCGACGCCAAGCCAGAGCACCTGGTCGCGCGATGGCCGAGAGCGAAGCACGGTTTAGGGTTTAGGGGGTGATCCTGTAATACTTAAGCCCTGCGGTATCCGGAACCCCAAACCCTGTGGCCAAAAGCCTGGACCACAAATCCTGCACAACCCTACTTTGACGCAGGATTCCGAGGCTGCTTCCTTTAAGGGCTTAGGGCTTTAAGGTTTAGGAGTTTAGGGTTCAAGGCTTGCGGTTCAGGGTTTGGGGTTCAGGGTTTCAGGGTTTTGGCGTTATGGTTGTGCGCCCTTGCTGTCACAGGCTACTATACCGGAATTCAGTAGTTCACCCTGAAAGAGCAATACCTAAATACCCCCTGCCTTTTACGCCTTTGCCTTTAAGCCTCTAAGCTGAAAAACCTGAAAGCCCCACAAGAGACTTTGCCAACATGCAAGTAAACCTTTTTAGACGTGCATGGTAACCCTTATCGCGACCCTTACTGAATCCCTTGTTTTAGCCCTCATGGTAACCCTTCTTGAGGAAATCCAGGACTCCGGCTTGCATTGACCAGACTGTAATGTCAGTAGAGCAGGAATCACTGAAGTTTTTGGCCGATCGCTTCGATGTCATGGCTTATGGCAAGGCTACGTAGTGAAGCGCCTTGGGTCATGCGTCTGAACTTTTAGCACGCCTGCAAGTGTGTGCATGCATGCCGTAGGTAGCCCAATCTGACAGATACTTGACGGTATGTCTGCAGCGCGTCGCCATTCTCGGCAGAAGCCAGCATGATGTTCGTTGAGCGTGAAAAGGAATCGACCTTTGAGCGCTGAGCCATGTTTCTTTAAGCTGTCTGCAGTGATCTGCTTGGAAGAGCTGGTGAAGCCTCTTTCGACTTCTAATAACCTCTGTGGTAGCCTCTCTGGCAACCCTATGTGGCATGCAAAAGACACGGAGCCTTCTTCACCAGCCATCCCATCGCTGTGCCATGGATCGAACACAGCCGCGTGTCGAAGGGCTTTGGGTTTAGGGTTTAGGGTTTAGGGTTTAGGGTTTATGGGGTTTGGGTTTCGGGGATATTCTGGACTGATGTTGGGTTTGAGTTTTAAGTCTCCCCTCGGCAATTTATCTCGAAGATATTTAACCTTATGCCCGAAGGAACAAGGTTTTCCTTCTCACCTTAATATGCAACCTCCACCACGTCACTGCAACCGGATAAAACCTACTGTCCTCCCCCAGTCATGGGGGTCTTGAAACTGAAGCATGCAAGCTTGGATAAGATACAGATGCTGGATGCCTGAAGGTCCCGCACCGTTTTGCGCCCCGGCTGACGCGAGGTGCTCTGCGGTGCGCGGCACCCAAACAAGAGGGCTTGTTCGTCATCCTTCTGCTTTTTGGGCGACCGACTCACATGTTGTTACATTTTCCAGTCGCCATTGAGAAAACTCGCAGGCAACAAAACTAGATTATGTTCTCGCTTCGGCCAACGAGTGGCTACCGGGCGAAATTTCTTGGAGCTTCTTCGAGGCCCTTGGGCTTCGCCCTGCAATCGTTAACTTCCAGCTCTTGTGCCGGGATAAGCCCAGTCTCTCTGCCCGCTGGGCCTCCCTGGCCTCAAGAGACTGTCCACAGCCCACGCGCAAATAGAAACCAACGAAGATCACGATGAGAGCACACCTTGACTCCGGCAAGCGAGGAAAAAAAACACTTCGTTGTCAAGTTCCGCGGAAGGTCTTGAGATGAACAAACTTTAAACCAAAGCGAGCTGCAAGTTCAAAGCCGCGCTTAGTATGAAGGGCGCGTTCGGGTGGACCTGGAACGTGCAGGATGCCCGAGTCACCCGCTTCTGGCACTACGCAGAAGTCTGCATCAAACGTGCTTTAACGATTTTGGTTGGGCTCTCACGAAAATTGTAGTATGTCACGAGTTCGCGAACAGAGTTCACACGGCAAAACTTATGAACGGCGCTCTCTCCGAAGAGCACGTCTCCGCGGCACGACGAGGGAGACCTCAAGCACCACTGTCTCGGCACGTATTCCTTTTCACGTTGCTCCCGAGGATTGGCTAGGGCTTGCGTTCAAGCTTACAGTGTAAGGAGAAAGGCTCTTCAAAAATCTAGCATCCACCTTCGAACCTCTCTCTCTCAGCGGTATGGAAGGATTTGCTTGGGCTTTGGTCCCTGGCCTGGTCATAAAGCACCATCGCCGTGAGGGTGGCGACGGACATTCCCACAGCTTCTGCGTTGAGCTTGATCAGCTGAAGGCTTATGAAGACATTAGCATCCCCTAAGGAGTAGTAAGTGTTGAGCTTCGTGGCGCCCTGGATGCAGGTGACATAGAGGGTTCCCATAACAACTTGGGATACGATCACCACAGGCAAGTTCGGGACAGTCATGCCCAGGCAAAGAACTACCCACCAAAGGCAGAACCAAACCAAGTTGTATGGCTTTGCCGATATGGAGTACCACGCGCGAGTGGCGCCGCCAGCATCGAAGCCTGCCTGCTCCTTCTCAGGTGACGGCGGTGCGAAGCGAGCAATAAACTGCAGGACCACTGCCGCCAAGATGTCGCCTGAAGATTGCGCCACTCCTGCCCATGTCGCGGAGTGCCAGTTGTGCTGTTCCTTGAAGTAGACGGCGAAGAGGACAAACTCTGTCACGTAGGCGAAGTTGTACACGCAGCTGAACAGACCAGCCAAGAAGGCGGGGAGCCAGAGACTCCTGGGCAGCCGGCTCCGCCGGCTCTCCAACTCGGAAGGCTGGGATGGGTCCGGTGGAGGAACGGGTGGAACGCGCATCACCAATGAGCTGCGTTGGGGTGGGATGGATTGCGCCAACAACTCGGAGACACGCTTTGCCTGCACATCTGTTGCCGTCGCGACGCTCTCTCATCTCTCTCTCTCTCTCTCTCTTTCTCTCTCGCTTTCTCTCTTTCTCTCTTTCTCTTTGCTTTGCTCAGGGCTTGAGGCG